ACAACTGTTTATCCAAAATTGAGACAATGCCTTGAGAGCTAGGACATATTGTGACCATCAACACCACCAACAGTACATACACACAAGTGACCTTGAGCTTGATGGATGGAGGGTAGAGTACCATGAGGCCTAGGAATTTTTCTCCATGGCTTATCCACTATAAGTATCACAGAGTGCCCCATAATGTGCAGAAAACCATTAAGAAACACACTTGCTGATCTTGAACGTATCACATCATCAATGTCTTGGCCCCATTTAGATTCCTTATAGATCCATTATACAGTTTTAGATGAGTAGATCTCCACACCTAGGCACTCAACGTCCTCATGCTCCACAAATTCAATCACATGAAAGTGCGAGGAGGTTGTCGAATCGAACCCTAATCGAGCCTGACCAACAGCACGAATTCTAGGCAGCAGTACCCACAAATTCTTGGTTGCCGAATTTCATACGACATAGCGAGATCCAGCACCAGCAGCCTCAACGCACGAGCATAGGACGAGGCCATTGCAACAATCTAAGACATCTACATTGTCCCTGGGGAAGGGCAAGAAGGACAAGTCGAGGCGTTCACCGGTGAAGCTGGTGAAGTTTCACATGTCGTTCTCTCCATCATAGAAGAAGCCGACCACAGTCTGGGGCAGCACCTTACGGTTGTCGGAGATGAGGCTGTTCCAGGGGCGATAGACACATTTATAGCAGAACAAGGAGTGGGCGGGGAGGCGACAGAGGATCTCAAGAACGACATCTTCTGTGAGGCTAGCCAGTGCGTTCCTCTTATTGGGGCCTCCTCCATTTTGTAGAGCCTGCAATTGTTAGTGTGCAGTAGGATGAGAGCTCCCTTACTAATGAGATCACTAAGGTCTTGTTTGGATCAATCTACATGTGTTGGTGTGGATTGAAGTGGATCTTGAGCTAAATTTTATAGTAATCCACCTCAACACATGTAGATTGAGATGAATCTGACAACATCCAAACAAGGCTTAAAGAGGAAAATAATACGACAAAGATCCATCATTGAAGTGCGAAAGCATACCTTGCCTTTCGATCTGGTGGCGGCACGACGCGAGGCATGCACACAAATAGCGAGAGAGGAACAATGGGCCGGCCGTGCGGGAGGGGGCGGCGGCCGGCCGGCCTTATTAGGGCTTCAGTCTAGACGAAGGGTTCGGATTCAATACGCACTAATGGATGGCATAGATTTCGACCATCAACCATCACCGTATGAACGTCTCGGCAGTTGTAACACCACCGTAACACACTGACATTGACTTTGGATCACCAACGCCTCCATTCAAACAATGGTTGCTTCACCGCCGGTTCATACGTTAATTCAACGGTGATAACCTGATCACCGTCGGATCTTATTGTAGTGCACACGTCCATCATGCACCGGTGGTAAAAAACTGTTATCTTTACCGGTTTCGTCGGGCGTCGGACATAGGATGAGCAGCCGGTGGTGAAAACCCTTCTACCGCCAGTTCGGCAGACGACACGGTGGCGAAGGATGAGATTTTGTTCACCGCCGGATCATACTCTGAGCTGGCGGCGAAAACGTCCATCACCACCGGTTATTCGGCTAGGAGGGACCCCACAGGTCATAAGCCGGTGGTGATATGTATCACCACCGGTTATCTCAAAACCCTACAACTCTTGGTTAATTGGTGACCTGAACTAAAACCAGAACAATCTACCTAGCTAACACTGGCCTCATCGAACACCATGATCCATAACAAGATAAAAATTGTAGCATAACCACGGATAACAATACCATGCCCTAACAAAAGGGTGAAATTGTTTTGTCAAATACGCAAAAGATTTGCATATCATTTCATTAATAAGAGAGAATAGACAAATACAAGGGTAGCGAAAGGAGAAGCCCTCCCACCTAAAGGTACACCCAAAACATTAAATTCTTGGAAACTATAAGAGAGGCGTCCACATAAAGTACAAAGTAGGGAATGAGCTATACTCAAAACTAAAATCACATGCATCACACAAATAACATGACTAGGAGATCTTTACCTCCAACTGAGCATTAGAGGACACACTTACCTACCACTACATGTAGGATTGTCATGACAATTTGTCTCATGGCATTAAAAGTTTAGTCACTGTAGTGCTTACATATTTCCCATTCCACTACAATGATGTGTGAATTGAGACCTTTCATGATTTCTTTTGGCGCAAGGGTGAAATTGTGGCTAAACCATGAATAAGACAAAACACAAAGGTGAAATTGTGGCATAACTATAGATCACAACACTATACTACATGATATCAAGGATCACAACAATGTCATCATAAGCTTGGTAGCCATGACTTTGGATTTGTTGAATGAGAACAATCGATCTCCACACTTTGCCTCCACTCCAATAGAATCATTGGCTTTTTCGCTCACCATAAGGGATATCGGTGTATTCACCTCCATGCCATTGGAATCATCATCTCCCATCATGTCACATTCGGTGAATCCACTTTCTCTTTGCTAAGTAGCTCTCTTTTCCTGTTCATGAGGACTTCTCCTTCTTACATGATTTCTCTACCCAGTGTTGCTACCAATTGGCCTAGCATAACCCCTATTTCCTCTAGGTCCTTCAATCTATTCTCTTGTGACCTCATCTAGCATAGGTATGCCCTTCGATGCTGTCATCGCACTACCAGGTGTAGTGCTTGCATTAGCCTCCCTTGCACCATCGAGCTCACCCCTAGACACTAACACCATAGTACCACTTGCGGTATGGTACTTCCTGCACTGGCCTCGCGCGGCACCTTGAATGGCACCCCAGCTACCTCCAATGGTGCCTCCCACCACACATGGCCTCGCCTACGCTTCCAATGATAGCTCTGCCATGCGCAGACATGCTGCACCACCCATGACATATGTTTCCTACTAGTGTTGTTGCTCCCATCCCTGGATGCCCTCCCTGTTCTAGAGCAGCGCTTTTCTTAGGTGGACACACACCATACATAGTCAACTGTGCCCTCAACGTACTCATGTGTCAAATCATTGGGCCTCCTAAACTTCTTGCTAATGTCATTCATGTTCAGTTTATGTTCAACCAACACATCATGACCACATGAGCTAAGCGGGCTTTTCAGGTGCCTACCCTCTATACCTCATGGCACCTCTATCCGCTATGCCATAAACACATTAGGCTGCCCTCACTAACCTAAATTGGCGAGCTACTATTGAGGAAGAACATGCTATGCTTCTGTAGAACAACATGTGATCTTGTCCCGCGTCCGCCGTGAGCTAATGTCATCTCTAACAAATGGATTTTCAAACACAAGCAGTTCCATGTTTCACTTGAGAGACATAAGGCTCACTAGGTCCTTTGTAGTTTCACATAGTGCCCTAGTGGATTTCTCTAAGACTTTTAGGCATGTTGTCTAGCTAGCGACAGTATGCACAATTCTCTCTCTAGCATTGTGAAGAATGCCTTCCTCCATGGCACCCAATTTGAGGCTGTCTATTGTCCACCTAAGAAATCCCTATATGATCTCAAGTAGGCCCCCTGTGCATGGTACAGTGGCTTCATGAAATATCTCCTATATTTGGCATTTGTGTAGGCCAAGTCCGACACATGGATGTTCTTCTATCATGAGGTTTTGATCTTGTGTGTTTGCTCCTCTATATGGGTGTCATTAATCTCACAACTTCCTCCCTTGGCTCTATGTCGGCTCACCATCATGGCTTTGCAGCATGAGTTCTCCATGAAGGATCTTAGTGAACTTCATCACTTTGTCAACATGAATGTTCAGAAGTGCTCCAATGGACTCCTTATTTCTCAGTGGCAATATATCTTGGAGATCATGGATTCTATTGGCATTACATATTGCAAATATTGCTCTACACCAATTGACACTAATCCCAAGATCTCTACTATGGATGGTTTTCCTATTCGGGACCCCTATTGAATTCTAGAGTTTCCCTAGTGCCCTTGAGTACCTTATTTTTAGGCGACCTGACATATCCTACACCTTTCAATTGGTTTGCTTGCATATGCACAATCCATAGGAACCTCACCTCATTTCCCTCAAGCACATCTTGCACTATCTTTGTGGCACCCTTCACCTAGGGCTTCTCCTTTAATCCACATCCTAGCAAAACCGTGTGGCTTACTTGATATTTTTGTGCAAGCTGTCTTTTTTTGCGAGACCCGACATGACGCATAACGCTCACATACACGAGTGCACACTCACTCCTATAAATGCACACACGCACATCCTACCCCTATGAGCACCTCCGAAGAACTGAATTGGACCAGTAAATCTCGAGATTGACGAAGTCACCACAGGTGCATCGCAGTTGACGGGTACGTCGCCTACCACTGTAAGAATAGCACCATTAAACCCTGGAATAAATCCAGTAAAATACGAGCACCCGTGTCAAGTCGGGGACTTGAACTCGAGTGGACAGGTTCCTCTACAAGGAACCCAACCAGCTGAGCTATATGAACAATCTTGTAACATTTTGCTGTTGCTATTGTTATTTACTACCATGAGCTATGTGAGGTAGATCCTACTCAACAACTTTCTCTGCAAACTAGTGACCCCAGTACTCCCTTTGTCCCCAAAAGAATGCAATTCTAGATTTGTCCTAAGTCAAACCATTTTAATTTGGACCATTTTATATAGAAAAGTACCGATATTTATGATACCAAGTAAGCACTATTGGACTAATCATGAAATATATTTTCATGGTATATCTATTTGGTTTCATAAATGGTTGATATCTCTATAGACTAGGTCAAAATTAAGGGTTTGACTTAGGACAAAGCTAGAAGCCTAGAATTGCTTATTTTTTGGATGGGGAGGGAGTACTTGGTATTGCTTTGTGTTCCCCACTTTTCAGAAAGTGCAATCTACTGATGAGATAGAATGTTCTCATCTAAATTAGGTGTGTGGAGCAAGATAAGGCTATAAGACAACGTCTTTACTGGGCTGATGGCACAATCAAGAGGCGTACAAGATCATCTATAACTGAGAAATCCGAAATGTGTCAAATTGTTCAAGCTTTAGTGGACAAGTATAATGAGGATCATAATCTTTTGGAGGTTTGCTCTCCCTTCTACCCTCATTGTGTGTCCTGTTACCATTGTTGCGCTGTGTCTTATTGCCTTGTTAATGTAACAATTGGTGATCTGACCCATGCTTCTTATTTCAGGATCTTGCACACGAATTCAAAGACGTTCTACACTACAAGTCAATTTTTGAGAACCTGAAATGTTACTATCATCTAAATTTCACTACAAAGATTAAAGGGTCTGGTCCAAATGAATGTAGCATGGACAATCTTTTCTTTGTGGAAGTGAAATGTATGCCACAAGGAAAGCTTAAAGAACTGCTTGTTAACCGTTTCTGTACAGTTAATCTGAATGACAATGGTATTATATACTCTTTATCTTAAATTAAGTACTGTTGAAATTCAGTTATTTGGTCGCGCTAACGTCAACTTATCTACCTGTAATTGTAATGTATCTCTGGCTGTAGCATATGATCTTTATGGTGCTGACCTGTTTGTTTGCCCCTGTTCCATGTGTGCCACCTTCATTGTCCTGGAGCTTTTTATTATTTATAATATCAAACTGGTTAATGCACACCAGTGATTGCATAATGACTTTTTATTACCTTTAACATTATTGTGTGTTTGTGCTTGGTTGGTTCCTTTGCAGTTAACTCTTTTTCTTTTGTTAATAAAGGTCACTGCTATGGTTGCACCAGATATGGAGATGTTGGTATGAAGCACCCTAGCAGTTCTGTTGGATACACTGCTGGTCACTTGAATGTGGGTTTGCCATTTGGATACTTTGCAAAGTGGAAGAGGGACTATGAGGATGAGGAGGATGATGATAAATATGTATGATGATTTATTTCCTGGGAAGCCTTTCAGTCTTTCAACATTCTTGTTGCTTCAGTTTCAATTACACGTGGTCTCCCCCACTTTTACAGGTGAAAGCTAGGGAAGCTGAGCTAAGGCAGATGTTCAAGGTAACGCGTCATATCTTGTGCTGTATGGTACCATTTGTAGTAAGATATTTTCGTTTCTGGATTGATTCTAGTTCCCTACTTTTGTATTTATTGTCCTTAGGGCCTTGATAAGCCAGGTGTCATGAAGAAACTATGCACTCCCCCTCCGTGGGCAACTAAAAGAAAAGCGCTGGAGTGAAACATCACAGTCCATTGCACTTTCTTGTGTCTGAATATATATTTCACAAGCAATAGCCCTTTTAATAATTATGTTATCTACCTAGGAACTCAGCTTGTTAGTTCATGTTGTTAAGACAATGAAGAAGAAAGCATATTTTAGTGGCACTCAGAAACCATTTGAGTCGAGGTTGAGCTATTTGTAGCTTGCTACTCTTAATAAATACTTATCTTAGGAATGCCCTCAGGAGACCTTTTAATGTTATGTTATTTTTCGTTGACCAGCTGTTTTAGGATTAGGAGATGAAATAGCCTATTGTTTGGAATACATTCAAGGTCAAGAGGATCGTATGCCTTGAGCGGCTTTGTTCTGTGGAGCTATTGTTGGATCCAAGGTTTCATGCAAGTGGGATCATGCAGCAATAAGCAAATGTCGAGCAAACTAGACCAATCCGTGGAAAACAGGTCCACGCCGGAGAACTGGATCTGCTTGGTAGCACATTGGTGCACCACTGTGGCTCTGTAGTGGTGTAGTGGTGCACCTCTGTGGCTCCGTAGGGTCTGTTTGGTTGTCTGGACCATAGTGGCCCGTTAGGATAGCCAGAGCCAGGTTTTATTTGAAGAGGCCTCTTTGTTTCATTGGCCAGTTGGCCCTAGCTGTGCAGATTCATGTTTGTTTGGCTGCAGCATGTGTCCCAACCATGAACTACCATAACTATCAATATGAGATCATGTTTGTTTCTCTGGATGGGCCTGGTGACTCATTCATTGGTCTGGCGGGTGTGTTCCCACCAAAACCGTATCCATTCAAGCATAAGTGCAAGCAAATACAGAAGAGGAACAAAGGGTGTTTAATACCTAACAGAGTTTACAAATTGTACTAAAAAATGTCTACACGTTAGAGGCCAAACGCAGCTATTGGTGGCATTTAGGTTTGTTTCACCTTGCTTTAGTTGAAGGGGGGAGGGGATGGTAGCACTATCGGAAACAGTGGCTTTGCCGTGTGCCACAGACACTCGGCAAAGCCTAAAAAACACTCGGCAAATTCTTTGCCGAGTGTTACACTCGGCAAACGGCACTTGGCGTATACAGAGTCGGCAAACGTCTCTTTGCCAAGTGTTTTCTATCGGGCACTCAGACACTTGGCAAAGACTTTTTGAAAAATATAAAAAAAAACCCCACTGCCGCCGCCGCCGCCGCCACTAGGCCGCCACCACCACGCCGCCGCCACCACCACTCTGCCGCCCCCACGGGTAAAAAAACACGGCGGGAAGAGGAGGGCACCTTGAGCTCGACATTGATCACACGGCAGAGCAGCTTGGAGGGCAGATCTTAGAGGCGCATCTGGTTCCCACGATGTGGTTCATGGACGCCTCCACCTGAGAGCCCCCAGCACCCAAAATCAGCGCCCAGAGCAAGGGAGCAAGCTAAAGCTCCAGGGGGAGCAGAGCAAGAGCAGGGGAGGAGGAGGAGATGTACCTGCTCGATGTGCCCCTAGGGGAAGTAGAAGACGAGGTTGTCGATGCGGGGGACGGTGATGAGCGGGCCAGCGCAGGCGCGCCAGAGCTCTGGGTACAGCGGATCCCTGCGGGAACAGAGCGAAGCACCATCAGCACGAGCCCCCGCGGGGAGGAGATGACGAACACGAATAGATAGAGAGAGAGAAGGCAGCGGGCCGCCGAAGCTGACCAGATCTGGCACCGGGAGAGGGAGGGAGGGGGTGGCGCGGGGATAGGGAGGGGAAGGGCAGCGCCGACGGGAGAGGGAGGGGGCTCCGGTAGGAGACGGAGGGAGGGGTGGGGGCGGCGGCGCCGGGACAAGGAGGGGAGGCCCGTGGGAGGGAGGGGGCTGACAAGTATCGGATCGGGATACTCGACAAAGCCACATCTTTGTCGAGTGCCAGATCGGGGGCTCTCAGCAAACCTCTTTTTATTTTCCTTCTTTTCCATAACGTGTGTCAGACAAAAAAATAAAATTATTTGCCGAGTGCCAAATAATTACACTCAACAAACATATTTCTTTGCCGAGTGCCAGATCACGGCACTCGGCAAACTTATCTTTGCCAGGTGTTTGCACTCGGCAAACTTTTTTTTCCCTATTTCTTTCTTTTCCATACCGTGTCTTCCTCCTTCTTCCTGATGTACTTTGAAAATACCTTGTCAAATTGACTCAACAATATATATGATTTTTCTAGGAATATTACTCCATTATTTTATGCAGTTACAACTCAAATTTAATTTATATTAATTAAAATTCAATAATTGCACTTAATAAATTAAATTTATCAAACGGATCCAAAAAATTACTAAAATTTCACATGAAATAATCTCTGTTCTCTGTTGCCTATACAAAAAGTTTTGAAGTCAAAATTCAATTTGACTGTCACTTTGACTCCAAATCTTACCGAATCCTTCTCAATGCTACTATACTTCTTCTGAGATGCTTCGGTTTGTAAACATCGTACGTGATAAAATTATACGAAACCTTCTCAATTTTTTACCACAACCTCTACGTATGATATCATCACATCATGATAAATCTCATGATTTTCAGACTTTGTTTGCTTTTTTTAGAATTTAAAAACCATTCGGCCACACGTTCGTGGTCATGTTTTCTGAACAAGATGTTCGAAATTTCTTTTCATTTTCCGAGTAAGGCCTCACACTGGACTCAATAACACGAATATCATTTTGCTACTCATTTTATTCTATTATTTGAATCACTTGCTGTTCAAATTTGACTTATACAAAAAAATTTCCTAGATTTGCAATAAATTAATTAAATATAGCAAACAGATCAAAAAATATATCAAATTTTAACATGGAATACCACATGTTCTATGTGGAGAGTAGAAAAAAGTTTCAAGGTCAGAAGAGGAAAAAAGTGAAATTATTTGCCGAGTGCTAAATAATTACACTCGACAAACATATTTATTTGCCGAGTACCAAATAATTACACTTGGCAAACATATTTCTTTGCCGAGTGCCTAGCTTTACTGAGTGTTTTTTTTTAGGGTGCCGAGTGTTTTTTTTTTTTTTGCTTTTTTGCCGAGTGCAATTATTTTACCGAATATTTTTGTGACAGCACTCGGCAAAGATTCTTGCGCTCGGCAAACTAAGTGTTTCCGGTAGTGCAGTGAAGAGGCGAAAGCTGGTGATGGGGAAGCAGATCTAGAGTCGAAGAGCACCAAGCGCTCCAGCCACCAGCAGCTCGAAGAAGGGGAAGAAGAAGAAGCCCGCTTGAATGAGTGCAGGAGAGGGGGAAGGTGAAGAAGGCCCCACACCGCAAGCAAGGCGGAGCAGCAGAGAGGCCCCAACGACAGAGGTGACAACCTGCTTCAACCACACCGCCACCGGCTGCCAGTCGCTGCTTGACAGAAGGGAGAGAGGAGGCGGAGTGAGTGAGGAAGCAAGAAGAGGGAAGAGGAGACTGCAGCCGAATAAAAAGGGCTGCCAAGCCTAAATGCGCGGGGGGAATTTCTCCATGGCGCGTGAGCCCACTAGAGCCATCCGGCGCGGGGTGAAACGGCCCAGACGGGCACGGCGGTAGCCGAGCCCGGGAGAAATGAAAATGGATTCCCTAGGGGCTGAGGGGACACCAGCCGGGCCTGAGTAGGCGAGAGTGGTGACGAGGCAAACAAACAGGCCCCAGCTGCACCCCGCCGGCATGGTCCGAGGGCAGAGCTAGGGAGCAAGCAGGCCCGTACTGGCACTCGCGGACAGCAGATAGAAGTTCGTGGAGGGAGGTCGTCAGAACTGGTTTTGTTTTAATCTTGGCAGCACAGCAAAATTCATTGAGGTCATAAGAATGGACACGGTTCTTTGCGCCTTCTGTAGCTCAGGCTAGTCCTAATAGATGATGTCGTACTCCAAAATCCAAGACTGTCTCGTAGGATATACATGGTATGATACAGGTAAAGTTGGGATCAAATAAACTCTCTAGTTTATAGTATCACACTTCACACCCCATTACGGTATCGAACGAAAACCAATACATAGGACATTGTGTTTCTCTGTTTTATTCCAATGCCACATCAACAATTTGTTCTACGTAGCATATAGCAAATGAGTATAACACCATGTACTAATTCACTGCACTTGCTGCATGGAAAAGACTAAGGCCCTATTTGGTTGAGCTGTGGCTGTGGGAGAAAGCTGCTGTGGGCTGTGAGCTGTGGAAAAGCTGCTGTGGGCTGTGAGCTGTAGAAAAGCTGAAAGCTGTTTGGTTAAACAAGTATAAAATATACATTTTATCTTTATCTCTCTTGAAACAACTATGGAAGAGCTTTTTATTCCACCAATTTCGAAAAGCAGAAAGCCAAAAGCCAAAAGTAGGGTCAAACCAGCTTTCAAAAATGAACTACGGAAAAGCAGCTGCTTCTGAAAAAGCACCCTCCAAAAGCAGCCCCTTTAGTTGGGCTTTTGGCTTTTGAGGCCAAAAGCCAAAGACAAAAGCCCAATCAAATAGGGCCTAATTCACGGGGCTTGCTAGATGGAAAAGACTCTAATAAAAATTTCATAAAAATAATATATTTTTTACATAATTTTATTATTTCGTCCTCGAATCAACTCGATAAAGTTTATACAGCAATGTGCAGAGTATCATCGTCAATAGAAGATAGATTGAATTTTGTCCATATAACTAGATGCTCATGCGACACGACTAGAGGTGGAACTTGGGCTGGGCCATGTCAGCATGACACAGCACTCATGCGCTTCATGTCACTCTGGATTGTGGTCTCTAGGCATGCGAGGTATGTCGGGTCATGCCGATATAGCACGATAAGTCTTCGCGCATGCATTTGTGTTGTCTCAGACCAGACACAACCCTCAAAATATCTTTGTTCTTTTCTTTGTCTACTCGTGAGTCGTTTCATATAAAAACTATATTTGGTATGTACCATTTTCATAAAAATGATTCTTATAATCCAATCAAGAATTAGACAAGAAGTAGTAAAAAAATTGTATCATAGTGTTGTAGATGTGCATATGTAGTTATTAGCAAATATGCCCGTGCGTTGTA